TAAGACCCACTGTCCATTTTAGGAACAATAAAGGAAAAAATAGTGCTAGCATCACATATTTTGAGTACAACAATAATTGAAATAGGGAGAATGGGGCACTCAGTAGAGAACTGAGCTACTGGGCAGAGACAGAGGATCAAAAGGTCTAAAGTTCTAACCTTTGCTTTGAGGTATGAGAAAGGCATCAGAAGGATTAATGTAGGTGTCTTATGGTTCTATTGCTGCAACAAACACCATGACCAAAGAGCAAATTGGAGAGCAAAGAGTTTATTCATTTCATATTCTATATTGCTATTCATCACTGAAGTAAGTCAGACAGGAACTCAAAAGTGCAGGATGCTGGAGGCAGGAGTTGATTCAGAGGCCATGGGGGGTCTGTTTACAGGTTTGCTTCCCATGACTTGCTCAGCCTGCTTTCTTTCAGAACCTAGGCTCTCCACTCCAAGGAAGGCTCCACCTGCAATGGGCTGGGTCATCCCACATTAATTACTAATTGAGAAAATGCCCTACAACATACAGGCATTTTCTCAACTGAGGTTCCTTCCTTTCTGATGATTCAACCTGGTGTCAAGTTGACACAAAATCATCCAGTACAACAGGAGACCACCAAAGTTGAAGTGTGTCTTAGAAAAGGTGGTTCCAATAGCAAACTGTATGGTCATATTTGAGGACATGTTGCAAGGAGGGGCGGCTTGTTTGTCCCGGCCACCCGGTTAGCTTACATCCAAAATAAACACACAGAAATTGTATTAATTAAAACATGGTTTGACCATTAGCTCTAACTTCTTATTGGCTAACTCTTACATATTAGTTTAACCCATTTCTATCAATCTGTGTATCACCATGAGGTGGTGGCCTACCAGAAAAGTTTCAGCACATCTACCTCCAGCTATGGATCCATGGCATCTCTCTGCCTCTGCTTTCTTCCTCCCAGTACTCAGTTCTGTCTTCTCCACCTACCTAAGTTCTACCCTATCAGCTATGCCAAGGCAGTTTCTTTATTCATTCACCAATGAAAGCAACACACAAACAGAAGGAACTCCCATACCAAGGATAGAGGTAGAGACCAAAGAAGTCAATGGACAGACACTATACTTAGAACACAGCCTGGAGATGGGAAGGAACACTTATAATATCCCAAGTCCAAGATCCCTGTGGAGGGAGAATTAAAGTGATCAGATTTAAAGTAGGAATTACCAGAATTTCATGGAAGAAATTTGCAATCTTTAGGAATATAAATGCACGGCAATTTCAGGAATAGCAGTGAGTTTTAAAATACATGTTGATATCTTCATGGTACAATTCCACTCTACAAATTATTCCTAAGCAGGGACCATAATGAAAACTGTAACCAAATGCGTATAAGCAGAAAGGGTGAGCTTAACATTATTATTAATGACAGTAAATAAGAAATTATACAAATGCCACAGAAGATCCCATCTGGTATGTCCATTGTAAGGACTCTAATGGAAATCTTCAAAATCTTGTCACCCAGCAGCAGAATGTGGCATAAAGTAAACATCCAGTAAAGTTCTTTTATTATTGAAACATAATTATAACAGTTCATTCAAATTACATTTCTGAAAAATCTAGAAACATCAGAAAATCTGTTCAAAATTACAATCGTAGCACACTGAATAATTCTAATTTCATTCTTTTCATTATTTAAATATATTTTAATGATATTCTTTCCCCTACCCCAAATATTCTCAGATCCTCCCCGATCCTTACCTACCCAATTTTATGTTATTTTCTGCTTAAGAAAAAAAAAATACAAAAACAAAAGCAAGCAAATAAACCATTAAGGCAAAAATACTAAAACAAAAAAAAGCATACAAAAAACATGAAGTTCATTTTGTGTTGACCAGTGAATCTTGGGTATGGAGCTTGCTTTGTGGGTGAATGATATACTCACTGTCACTCATTTTCTCTTTGCCAGTAACTATCAATTGCAAAAACTTCCTTTTATTGTTGTTCTTTAACAAAATAATAATAGTAGATTTTCACCTAGAGTCATGACTTATTTAACCTGAGGATCTTGGCCACTTTGTAATTCCAGATATGGATTCCATCTCATTGAGTAAGTGCTAAATCAAACCAGGATAGTTGGTATTACCATAACATCTGGGCCTCTATTGCATCAGTATATCTACAAGCAGGTTGCTGTTGTATGCCATATTGTTTGTAATTAAGTTATGTTGGTGATTATCTTTTTCCCCCGGTATCATGCAGCATACCTTCCAATATAATAAGTGCTAATCAATAGAGGTGAAGCACCAACTCAACTTTCCTGTGTTCAGTGACATCATTGTGTTCAGTGATATCATTGACTTCAGTGACAAAAGTTTACCATCAGGTTGTAAAGAGGAACCAATAACATTGGCAAAAACCTGGAATGTTGCAGAGGGGATAGGAGGTCTTTCACCAATGATTCAACAAAATATATTAAATTACTAGTACAGGGAATTTTACTCTGAGGCATACTATATCTAGTTTGGATGTTGTCTTATCCCCACCACCACAATACCTGATAACTATTTGAATTCTTTTCATATATGTGCATATTTTATGAAACTTCTTTAGAAGTAGGTTTCCATATGATGTTTCAAAAGGTATTTAATGTTAGACGTCCCTCCATATCATACTTTTCTCTCCTATATCCTTCTTCATTTAATCAGGACCAACACTGTCATGTTGGACCATGTACCAACCAGCCTTTCCTATTCTCCCTTGCTTTTATAATTAATTCTGTGTTTCTCAAAAAGTCACTTTTTGTAATGGCTGCAATTATGATGCAGTATATACTTAATTTAGAAAGAAAATTATCTGACAATACTCAGCATTTTCATCAAGGAACAAGATTATACTCTGATAACTCACCTTTAAGTTAAAAAGCCAAGTAGTTTATTCACAATGCAAAGCATGTTTATACGACATTCTATGTTATTTATTTCTAGAGCATTTTCTATAATGTTACTGAGTCATAAATGGATCCCTTTGTGATGTCTAAATTATGGTCACTTATATATCAGAGAAGTGTGTAGACTTTATAAGTTGCTTTTGCATTCAGTCACTTCCTTCTCATGTTAGTTCAATGACTCCTTGACTCATTCCTTCAGGTTTCTCTGTTGATTGGCTAGAATTTTACCAGGAATTTGTATCCCCAAACCTATTTCATTAGATCTGACTATCCAGAATCTGTGAACTATTGTAAATGATGAAAGAATAAGTTGAAGTTTGTCCTTGTTTCCGACTCAAATGTTATGCCTTAAGTATGGATAAAAAATATGTAATTTTTAAAAGAATTACTGACTGGAGAAGTTTCCTTCCAATATTAAAAGAAGAATGCTTGCTTTTCTTACTAAAAAAAACAAGGGTTAGGTTTATGCTAGTAATATATTTAAAAATACCAGTCTTTAACCAGTGGCAAATTATCATGTTGATGGAATTGACAGTAGAGGACAAGAAGGAAAAAAATAAAATGGTAGCCTCAACCCACTGAATAATCTTCTATTGTAAAATAATAATCTTGGAGAGCTGAAGAGATGGCTCAGTGATTAAGAAAGTGTACTACTCTGACAGAAGACCCAAGTTTAGTTTCCAGGAGCCACATTGTGTGTATAACAATGGCCAATAATCCTAGCTCCAGAATATCTGACACCTTCTTCTGGTCTCTAAGGGCACTAAATTTACACAGAGAAAGCCCATAAGCATACATATTCATGAAGTTTTTTATTAATTTAAAAACTGAGAGATAAAATTTCAACAAAACCTAAGGATTCTTGTCAACATGAGTCTTTGATGTGAGCTGGGTGTTAGTCATTGTGTTTTGAATATTTTAGTGGCATGTTGTACTGTGTAGACTAACAAAAATTATGTTGATTCAATGAGATGAAAATATTCCGGGATGACTTCCAGCTCTATACTAGAAAGAAATTGCCAAAAAAGGCATTACAAAGAATCAATTTTCAGGGAAATATTTGGTTGGGGAATATTGAATTTAAGGTTCCCATATAACATTCATAAAGAAATAATATTCCTGAATTAGTAGCAAAAAGAAAGAATAGGACAATCACAGATTCCTGGGTGGCTTTGCATAGTGCACAATGCAAGTCATATTCAGTAATAACATGAAGAGGACAGGGCAGGCACTATGCTGATGATGGTCTTAGACTGAACAGTGTATGCTGATCAAAGGGAAAGGAAAGATAATAGTAAGAATGTTGGAAGTTTCAAACACAAAGGAGAGGAAAATGATGGGAAAGAGAGGGTTCTTTGAGACACAAGAGAGGCTGCTGAACTCTCTTCAGGTTATTTTTGTCTTTTGTGCAAGAAGTTCTAGGAAACTATGAAGGTGACAGTCAGAGTAGCCTACTCATATACCAAAATGAAAAACAAATAGATGGGTGCTTTATGGACATTCTTGGGTTCTTGGGTGTATGTATATACAAAGATAGGTGTGTATGTGTGTGTAAGGATAAATAGAATGGTGAACAGATCCTGTATTCTGAGAAACCACATAAGAATGAAGTGCACATGAGCTATATCTCTGTAAGTAGAAAATCGAAGGAAATTCTCTCTGGGGAAGTTTCATAAGGCAAGAGTGGTCCTATGTCCTTGGTTCCAAAGAAGGTGACTAATTGGGACTATACAAATTCGTGAGGAACAGCATCTCTGTCTGTAAAACAAGGCTAAAACAACTGGACTTTATGTCACTCAACAAAGTCACCTGAAATAATGTTCCACTCAAGATTTCTTTGGGATCTTCTATATTGCTGTCATGATTGGTAATATCAGGTACACATGGTGGGGAAGCAACTCCATGGGAGTGCCTGCCTGAGAAGAACACAAGCATTTGGAAGGATTACCATCCACCTATCCTCAAGTGAGGTCACAGCTCCACCCATTAGAGCCAGCTAATGTTTTGACCCAGCCCAGCTGCCAGAGAACAGGCCCAGGTGCTGGCCCCACAGGTTTTGGTTTGAGTCTCAGTCACTGTGGTATGTTTTCGGCGGCGGAACCCAGCTCACTGTCCTAGGTAAGTGGCTTTAATTCTCCTTTCTATTCAGCCCAGCATGTGTTGTCTTAGAAGGATCTGTTTTTTTTTTCTCTCTGAGAACTTCTCATCTTCACTCCCCTAACTTAAGGACTGAATCCTTAGCCTTCTTCATGGTGACTAGGGGAGATGGGCAATTAGGAGAAATCTGAAGGAAGGGCCAGCAAATCAGAAGCAGATGGCCTCAGATTCTAATAAATATGTTGTGATCTCATGGGCTTCAGTTAGGGTCTGATCAGAGTCAAGGGCTTTATTCTTGTTCTCAGACAGATTAATCATTGGGAATCATGGACTGGGTCAAAGAACGGGCACTAGGACTTTGTCAGAGCCCACAATATCTTCTTAGAATGTGAAGGGTTGGATCTAGATATGTAAGGGCAGCTTCCAGGGTCTTGGATTAACAAAGTGGGAAACACGCAAGCATAGTGAAGGAGTAAGTTTGTAATTGTCTTCAGTTATCTGACCATTTACTGAGCTACTGAGGTCCTATAGGCACAGAGACAGTATTTATTATCAGGGTAACCAAATCCTGGTCACCTCAAGATTAGCTGGGATTATGTCTATAAAGACCCTTAATCCTGGGTTATGATGCCTTGTGTTTCCATTGTCAGATTCTTTTTTTTAATTGTCAGATTCTTTAAATGGCGTATAAAATTTGGGAGGTCAGGAATGAGGGACAAACTGGGGGTTTCAGAATACTTCCTGACCATCAGGTAAGGAAACTGTTTCTGTGAGCAAGTGACTGTTATGCTCTTGCATCTGAGGAGAAAAAAACCTCCAGAACATAGCCAGGGGAATGGATATAGTGGTCAGGTCAAACTAAGCAGGAGTCGCTAAAACCCTAGAGTAGCCTCAGATCTTCTTTGTACGGATCAGACTACTCAGTGAAAATGCTGAGGAGATTAACGTGGAGACCTTGCTGTCCAAGATTACAGGAGGCTCAGTGCCTCTAGGTGCTGGGGACAAAGAATGGGTCTCCTTACTTAGTTAAAATTCAATCTTCAGAGCAAGGTGGAATGTAGCTTATTCAGCAAAGAGCTCTGACCACGACAAGAATAAAGAGGAGACAGCTGGGCTAGGGAAGGTGATCAGATATGGGGCAAATTCCAAATTAGATTATAGACAATAGGGTGGAGAGAACACAGTCATACCTACTGATAGTTGGGGAATGGGGGAAGAGAGGAGGAGTCCAGTTCATGTAACTTGGGAGGGTATCCTGGAAACCTTTGACTACTAAGAAGATTATTCACTGAGGCTCAAAGGGGCAGATGAGAAAGTTGCAGGTGAATAAGATTACAAATATGAAGAGTCACTGAGATTCGATAGTTTTTATTTTGTCTCTTGAAACAATTCCCCTTTTATTCACACAGGTCAGCCCAAATCTTCTCCCAAAATCACGGTGTTTCCACCTTCACCTGAGGAGCTCCAGACAAACAAAGCCACACTGGTGTGTCTGATCAACGACTTCTCCCCACGTACTGTAACAGTGGCTTGGGCGGCAGATGGTGTGCCTATCACCCAGGGTGTGCAGACTACAAAATCCACCAAAGAAAACAAAAACTACATGGCCAGCAGCTATCTAAGTTTGACAGCAGACCAGTGGAGATCTTACAAGAGCGTTTCCTGCAAAGTTACTCATGAAGGGAGTCTTGTGGAGAAGAGTTTGTCCCCTGCACAATGTAGCTAGGAGCCCAGACTTCTCCTGAGCCTGGGAAGTGTGGAGCTAGGAGACTCAGAATGGGGTCTCTTCTCTATACTAGGGAATCCAGGCTTCTCTTTTACCCACTGAATATTCAATAAAATATCATTAGTTAATCAGAGGTACTGCCTTGTCCATTTGTTCTCATTATATATTCAATTTTGAATCATTGAACCTGCAATGTGGGGAGGTGGGATCAGGTTTCCTGTGAGAAATTAGTTTTCCTTGGAAACATTCAGAGGGTATCACCCTAAAAGTGACATTTCCCTTGCTCTGCATTATTGTCTGATCCCTGGTATGCAGGGACACTCATTTAGAATACAGCTCAGGTAAACTATCATGTTTCAGGCTAAACAATTAATATATAGGAAGTCCTCAAATATATGAAATCTTACAATGAACCTAGTAAATTTTATTATACAATTCAAAACATTGATGTTAATGGCCCTCTATATTTGGGCATGAGGTGGGATAATCACTCAAGCAAAATAACAGCATCAAATGAGAAATGATGGATCCAAAATGATCCCAGAAGGGTGCCAAATAATGTTTCAAAGGAAGTGATTTCAGAGTCAAATTCTAGAACTACTCAACGCCATGTCAGGTGAGGTCAAGGAAGACAGAGTGAGACCTAAGATTTAAACTTATGTCAGTTCCTTGGGTAGACTTAGGTCTTTACTGGACCAAATCCTCTCATGTGCATAAGCACACCAGTGTGTACTTCAGTTTAGTATCAACCACAATCTTTGAAATTGGCCGTCAGCCTTCAGTGGTCCAGCATCTGTCCATGTCAGTAAATATTTACTGTGTTTGAGACATAGGGACTCTATAGCTCATAATCTGTATAAACCCTGACTACATCCAGAACTTTGGTGGATCAGACAGTCCAGCATGACAGTCTTCATAGCTAGAAATATTCTTCAACAATGAAGCAGAGTGACAGGTGACAACATAAAGCTTAATCACAGGTCGCCAAATACCTGTTTCTGAACTAGGAAGAACCTGTGGGATTTGTGCCACATGGCACTTTTCATTGCTATGGCATGATAAAGTCTGTGCCCAATAGTTGGAAGTGAAGATCCTGGGTACTCTCACAGAAATATTCCTTGGTGGAGACAGTGCCAACACTCATCCAGACACAGATATTGTTCAGAGACTCACTTCCTCATCCTTTGTTCAAGATTTCACTGACAAATTTGAACACAAAAATTAGGAAACTCAGATATAGTAATCTTCCCATATCCCCATCAAATAGCCTGTAACAATCCTTACACGTGGATTTTGATAAGACTCCTTCCATATATCATGTTATGAAAGCACATTCCAGAAGTTGTATCTTATCAGCTATGATAATATTTCTGGGTTTACAAAGAGAAAGTACAGATATCATATCAAACTTCAAAAGAAGTTATTGATTATTTCTTCATGTCATATAATAGTCAAGTTGTCATTAAATGACTACATGACATGACCCTACAGTGTTTAGTAATGCATTATTGGTAAAGATTTCACCACATGAAGGAAGATGAGATGTGTATGAAGCCGATGGTTGCGCGTGTTCTCCACCTGTTGTATTCTGCAGGGCCCCAGACCCCTCTCTTCATTTTTTGCCAGGCAGAAGGTGCAGTGACTGAGTCAATGGTCCCAAGACTTTGCATAGACTTCATGCTTGCTTCCTTGAGCTGTCACCAAGGGATCCTCTCTTTAATTCTTACCCTGTAAAGAGCTTCTTTTAAAAAGGGTGTGGAAAATTTATGGATGACTTTCTGGCAAGGATATCTCAGAAGACAAATGGGGTCATGGGAAGAAAGATCATCACATGCCCAGAATCATCAAGGACTACATACATCACAGCTGAAAGTATAGGATAAGGTGCATGGAGGGTTTTTGCATGAGTGTATATCACAGTGTTGGGTGTTCGGCGGAGGCACCAAATTGACTGTCCTAGGTAAGTCACTTTTTTTCTTCTGTTACTGTAATCTTCAAGGTTTGAGATGATTTTTGCAGTGGACTATTTCTCATTCTCTATTCTACTTCATGCTTCAGCTTCTCTCTAGGAACATAATCTCTTTCTTCTCTAGATTCTGTGCCTCACCTCAAATGGTTCCCTGTGACCTTTCATGTCTAATCTCGTAGGCAGGGGGCCAAAAAATATAAATTCTCAAGGTCTGTCTTTCATTCTGGTGCAGTATCCACTGCTCTGATAAGTACTTCAATGTGCCACTATCTATGAGTGTGTGTGTCTTTCTGGTAGAATTTGTGAGGAGTAAAGTAAATTGTTATCTTATTGAGAAGGAAGAACAGAGAACAGAAGCAGAGAGAGAGAGAGAGAGAGAGAGAGAGAGAGAGAGAGAGAGAGAGAGAGAGTTGAATTAGGAGACTGTAGAACACTCAACAATGAGGCTGGTAAATAACTTGTCAGAGTTCAGATAAACTAGCCATTAGAACTCAGGATCCAGTTTATAAGACAGGCAGGAGATAGAAAGGATTCCAAATCTTCCAGGAAAGTAATGAACAGAGCAGTAACCTATCTAGAACTCAGGAAATTTAGTATGAAGAAAGGGAAGGGATCTCAGGACACAGAAAGTCAGGAGAGAGAGACTGAATATGTGACTAGAAAGTTGTGTTCCTGGGTCTCTCTAAGACACTGCTTAGAAAACAGAGCAACTGTATTCATGTAGATCTGGTATTGATGTATAAAAATAAAACACCACATCCAGAAAGGGGAATATTCTCTCATTCTGCAGAATTAGATACAGTTCAAGCAGATACATACTTTGCTGAGCAGAAATCACAGACCCAGGGGCCATGATTTGGATGAAAATAAATGCCTAACTATAAAGTTTAGTCTGAGCAGAGGTTTTCCATCAGAACTGTCCTCAGAGTGGGACAGATGGACGGTAGACATCTTTAAAAAGCAGAGAGGATACAAGGTCAAGGACATAAAGGTTAGGTGTCTGTGTTGAAGGTCAGAATCCAGTGAAGTGTGGCACAAATGTGGAGTACTTAATTCCTAGGTACACAGGGAGTATATGAAAGAAATGTATACCCCACTTTCTGTATTCCATTCAAATATAGTCATTAAACTTGGGACATGCTAACACTACCTCTAGGATTTCTATTGGGAAACCAAGATTTCTTCTGAATTTCTCTTTCTTCACCCTGCAGGTCAGCCCATATCTCAACCTTCAGTCACCTTGTTTCCACCTTCTCCTGAGGAGCTCAAGACCAGCAAGGCCACACTGGTGTGTATGATCAATGACTTTTACCCTGGTGATTTGGCAGTGACCTGGAAAGCAGATGGTACAACTATCACCCAGGGTGTGGAGACAAGTAAACCTTCCAAACAGGGCAACAAGTACTTGGCTACCAGCTTCTTGACTTTGACAGAAGATGCATGGAAATCTAAAAACAAAGTCAGCTGTGAGGTCACTCATGAAAGGATAAAAGTAGAGAAGAGTTTGTCCCCTACAATGTGTTCCTAGGCCTTCCAATATTCATCTTACCCATAGAAACTGGGATTAGAATAATGAACAAATACTGCTCTTGCCTATCATAGCCCTTCTCCCTGCTCCTGAAATGCAAAATAAAATATCTGTTCTCAACCTGTAATTCTACTGTACTCATTTGTTTTAGTGTACATTTCACTGGTATTCACAGTAGTGTGGGAATTTGCTGGAACCCCTTGATTTGTAACTGGGGTGATATCCTGCATAATCACCCTAGGGAGTACCTGCTCCATGCAGGCACAATTTCCCACCTCTCCTCTGGACCTTTGATCATACCATGAATTTTACAGTGTGAGTGTAATAGATTTCCCTAATTTCACTCTTTAATAGCCCTAATCCTATGTTAAATCCCTTTCTAAAAATCTACTGGTGCCTAACCATCTTCCTTAAAATTATAATTTGGAGTCTGGGACAGTTCTATTATATGCTATCTTAGTTTCTATTACTCAAGTCAAAATGAATAGATAGTATTAGGAAATTGAAAGTTTATTACAATCTGTACAAAGAAGTAAAATCAGGCTAAAGATAATGCATGTGAGGTGTTCATGAAGGTTACAGTATGGTTGTAGTCAGCCTTGATAGGTATATGAACTAAAAGAAACAAGACATGATATCCAGCCCAAATGCTGTCAGAGGCATTCAGTGCTGGATATGAGAAACTTTGACATGTTTCCACTTCAGAACTAGATTTTGGGATTTGCCATTCATCAGGGCTGAAGGTTCCAAGTATGACTAAATATCTGGGTACCATACAGAGAACAAGACTTTCCTAGAATCCCAATTGGTTTCTAAAGAAAGCAAGGAGAAGAGGGGAGGGAGCCCTTAGAGATGAATGGATATGGAGATAAGGAGGATCTTGGAGGGCATGAAGGAGGAGTAACTGTGATCAGAATGTTGCATGTGTTTTCAAAAAATTAAAAGAATATCAAATCAGGTTAGGGATAGAGCATGAGTAAAGTTGTTAAGGATTGGAGCCTGGACATGGTCTTTGTGAGTATAAACCTTGTAAAAAGTCAATTTAGGAATGACCCCAAAATTAGCACTCCTGAGGAACTCTGATTGACTAATAGAAAATGTTTCAAAGTTGAATTCATGAGTATACTCAAGTCATGCAAAGACAAAGTGAGGTGAGTGTGGTTTGAGAATTGTCAGCAAGAGCAGGTGTTCAGGAAGTCTCAGCTGGGCTACATGCTTCTCCATAACCCTGTCCTTTCATGTTTAATTTAATCTAGTGTGGGCATCAGATTGATGTCATGCATAATTCTTAGCACAAGTCTGCCTTCCTTGGTTTATTATTATTCAGCTTGGTTAGACCATCCTGATCAGGTCCCTTGTACAACATCGTCTAGTTCTCACAAGGGACATGGCAGTTGTCTACACCAGAGCTCCTTGGTCAACCTATCAATTCAGTGACATAGTTAGAAAATCAGAAGACATGCTCAATAATGGAACAGCATGACAGAGAAGGGGAAAGTAAGGTTTGATTCTGGTTACAACAATCCAAATTCCAACCTCTGAGACAAAAATATTTCAAAACTTATATATTACAAAAAAACAAAAAAAGAAATATATGAAAAGTTTTTTATATAATCGCATAAATGTAAGAATAGATTGTCCATTTTAATCATTTCAAAGGCTACAAAAATTACATATGTAGTTACCACTAGAACATTAAACCTGATCACCCTTTCATTATTTGGGCTTGGACCCTGGGCCTTACATATGGTAAGTCAGTGTTTTATCTCTGGGTTTCATCTTCACCTGTATGCTTTACTTTTAATTTTAGAAAGTATTTTGGTATAGTAAGGAGGATGCTAGTTAGTTCCCAGGTACTTAGCCCTGAAATAATCACACAGAAACTCTATTAATTAAATCACTGCTCGCCCCATTAACTCTAGCTTTTTATTGGCTAACTCTTACATATTAATTTAAGCCATTTCTATTAATCTGTGTATCACCACATGGCTATGGCTTGCCAGCTAATGTTCCATTGTCTATTTCCAGTGGGGCTATATGGCTTCTCTCTGACTCAGCTTCCTTTCTCCCAGCATCCCATTTAGTTTTCCCCGCCTACCTAAGTTCTGCCACGCTACAAGTCCAAAGCAGTTTTTTTATTCATTAATGGCAATCACAACATACAGAGAAGAATCCCACATCATTTTGGTACATTGCTTAAGATGGACTTGAACTCCTATTTCAGCCTTAGCTTCTAATGAATCTGGAGTACATGTATGCAATGCCATACTCAGTTGTGACTTTCTCTTGAGAATTACACATTAACATCTTGAGCATACGCTACTGTCCTTTTCTTAGTAAGTCCCAACTTTATTTAATTCTGCCTAGCCTTTAATTCTTTTTCTGCTTGGTGAATCAAGATAGCAGTTACTTCTGAGAAGAGGTCTCTGAAAAAAACTCCCCAGTACATAAGGTCAGAAATACCAAAGTGCAATGCCAGTGACATCTGAACTGTTGTCCAGGTTCTTGATGTTTCACCCAAACCCAGGCTCCATTCGTCACAGCAAGATGTGTTCCTATGTCTCAGTAGAAACCATCTGTAAAGACCTACAATCAAAGAGCCTTTGTTTCGCCTAAGTAAGATGTCTATAAAAATGGTTCTAAATCTGCTCAGTTCCCATAGAATACAAACTAGCTTTAAACAGTGTTGTAATGAGTGGAAGTTTCCTTTAATGATGGTCTTGATTTTAAGGGACCTGACAAACTCTAGAGAGTCTGGTTCACCTTTAAAAATGTACTTTTCTAGGTTCAAGTCTCTTGCCAACCCTAAGGTGGCTCCCTTAACTAAGATATGTGCTTCCCTGCTCCCCTATCCAACCTTCCTTTATCCCAATCTTCCTGTTTCCCCAAGTTCCCCCAATCCTCCCCTTCTCACTTTTCTCTCCCCGCTCCCAGGAGCCCAAGGCGACGTCCCCAGTTAGTCCCTTGGGAAGCGGAGGATAGGGAACCTGAAATGACCCTATCCCATAGCAATACTGACGAATATCTTTCATATCACCATAGAACCTTCATCTGTTGATGGATGGAGATAGAGACAGAGACCCACACTGGAGCACTGGACTGAGCTCCCAAGGTTCCAATGAGGAGCAGATGGAGGGAGAACACGAGCAAGGATGTCAGGACCACGGGGGGTGCACCCACCCACTGAGACAGTGGGGCTGATCTATTGGGAGCTCACCAAGGCCAGCTGGACTGTGACTGAAAAAGCATGGGATAAAACCGGACTCTCTGATCATGGCGAACAATGAGGACTGATGAGAAGCCAAGGTCAATGGCAAGGGGTTTTGATCCTACTTCATGTTCCGGCTTGGTGGGAGCCTAGCCAGTTTGGATGTTCACCTTCCTAGACATGGACGGAGGGGGGAGGACCTTGGACTTTCCACAGGGCAGGGAACCATGACTGCTCTTTGGATTGGAGAGGGAGAGGGAGAGGAGTGGGGGAAGGGGGAGGGAAATGGGAGGCTGGGAGGAGGCGGAAACTTTTTTTTCTTATTCTCAATAAAAAAATATAAAAAAAAAAGAAAAAAAATGTACTTTTCTTTCCCTGGATTCCTATACCCTAACAGTCCCTAGATGTTGTCATGGGGTTCAGCTTGGTTGCTCTTATTTTCTGAGTCATAAAGACACAATTGTTCCCTTTCTTCTCTTTAGGATTTTCATTTTGGAACCTAAGTATGCTTTAATATCCTCAACTAATGATTTGGACATGTTAGTCTTTTTCTTCCCTGCCACAATGTGGGTGACCTCTGTGCCAGCTTACCTCTTCCTTTCTCCTACGTTGGGTAGCTTCAAGATGTGCAGATGATTGTGCTAGAATTTTCCTTTTAAACTCTAGTAAGTTGTTCTCAATCTTCTGTTTGTGCCTGTTCTTAAATTCTTAAATAATGAGACTAAAAACCCTAAGAGGGTAAAACAATCTCCCATTGTCATATGGCTCTGCTGGGACACCTCAATATTTCTGGTAATGTAACAATATTTTCTGTATTCTTCAATCAGAACAGAAAATGGACCCATAAATACCCCTCTAGGTAGCATCAATGTCTTTCCTAACAATGCTTCTACAAAGTCCCTAACAACCAGATAATTCTAAAAATTGCACGTAAGATGTCTGTGAGGTGATCTAGGAAAATTCCACTCCTTAGGGACACAAGCACAGGAACATGATTCACAGTTACCTGGTCAGAGTCACTGAGGGGCCTGAAAAGTCACATTGTCACTGAAGAATATAAACCTATTTCTTCTTCTAGGAATTCCACAGAAGTCCTCTGTAGAACAACCTAAGACCAGAGACCTTTAAGCAATATGACCTAAGCTCTTTATTTTTTGGATATTCTCAATTTATTCCTGATGTCCTGGCACTACCTATTTCCCCCTGATAGTGTGCCTCACACATATCTGTGATGTGTCTTATATTGACAGTCCTCCTGTTTTTATCTCTTTAGTGCTCAGATTAAAAGACAGAAAAAAAAATATGGCTCAAGAACCCTGGCCACTGACTGAGGAAAGGCCAATGTCCACAAGCCCTAAGCATATGCCTTCATCTGTGTAGAAAACAAAAGAAATACATAGGCAAGTCCCCAACAAGCTCAGAAATTCTGTAGGCCTGAGACACTCAAGAGAAGGGATCATGTGGAAGCATCCAAACAGGTGAGCCTGTCCTTAGGTAGACAAAGTCTTCAGATGGAGCAATCCCAGAGCAGATTCAGAGGTTAATATGTCTTTCCTGAGAACCTGTTATGTACCAAGTCTACAGCAACTATGGGCCAAGCAGGGGTCATCAATCTTAGAGTTAAGAAACCTTAGAAAATAATAATAATAATAATAACAATAATAATAATAAACCTTAGAGAGAAATAAATAAATGTAAGAGATAAATGCATAATGTCATGTAGGACACAGGTAATCATTTTGTGGATAAAAAAATTGTATGTGTAAAGACTGTAATAAAAAATACCAACTAGGGCTTCTCAAGGGTTAACATTCCAATAGCCAAAAGCAAGCAGGAGCTAAAGAGCCCCACTCTTCTTACCTATGCTTAGCCTCATTTTGTTTCCTGTTCAGATGAAATGATATAATAGACATTCATTC